AAGGGTCCCAGTGAGGCAGCCACGGGCAGCCTCTTGTGCACCCCTGCTCTTGTTCAACTAACATCGATGTCTTTTTTTCTTTTAAAAGATTATGCGTTGTAGTGACAGTAAAAATAATTCTCAGGGAAAAAGTTAGGAAACCAAAACTTTTGCATTGTTTCTCTCTGCTCCTGACAGCACTAAATGCACTCAATTTGATGTTTTTATTTCTACTACCATAAATAAAATGTTTTTATTTCTACCACCATAATAAGGCAGTAAAGAAGTCTGAGATTAGGCAACAATTTAAGTTAAAAAAAATCACTAATTCGTTTAGTTAAGAATTTTGTGCATAATGCTGGAAAGCAAAACCTCAGCTCTTACGCCAACAAAAACCCACACAGACAAAGAATTTTTCTGACATTGTCCCATTATCACCACCTCACGTTCCATTTTACTGTATCATGTTTGCAAAGAAACCAACAAGAGACAGGTTAATCATAGGATATTTGTGATTTAACAAGTTTCTGTTTAGAGCAGTGGTGGGCCAAATGCAGTTTGGCAGGGTTAGCCCTTGGCAGGCCACCACTGTATTTGTGCCCCCATAGGTAAAGGCACTTGCAGCTCTAGTTGGCTGTGGATCGCCATTCCTGGGCAATGGAAGCCACGGGAAGCAGTGTCCTGGTCCATGTCACTTCCTGCAGCTCCCATTGACCAGGAATGGTGATCCAAAGCCAACAGGAGCTTCAAGCACCCGTAGTCTCAGAGGGGCAGGTAAAGAGAGAGGCGGCAGCCCACCAGGGGCTAACCCAGGCAAACCACTTCTGTACTTATTGCCCACCCCTAGTTTAGGATATCTGGAAAACAAGACTAGTGCTGATGTACACTTCTAGAATTCCTCAACAATCTGCATACTGGTTTTAAAGACGTGGCTGCCAGATCAAACAGGTCAGAAAATACTGGCTGGTAGTGGCTGCTCCTGCTAAGGAAACAACTAGGGATTATACCCTTCTCTTTCCTAATATAGAAGATGAGTAATGATCAAGCACAGCAGGAAGCATATTCACTTTTGGAGGAACATTATTTTATTTGAATTTCCTTTAAAATAAACACAGCCAGCACTGTTTGCCTAATGAACATGAGATGTGCATGTGAAGATCATTCCATTATCTGGTCTGGGGGAAAGTGAATCATTTATATTGTCCCATTTCACTTGAAGCATGCAGGGGATTCAAAAAGTATACAGTTTTACATAGCTATGATGGAAGGGTGCTATCTGTGTCACAGGCAAGCTTCAAACATGCTTTCACAGCATTAATGCTGTTCACATATTAGGTAAATGCATCCATTATGTATAATTGTACAGCAGTCAAATATTCCTGTTTACATATGAATGTATGAAATGTATAATAAAACTGCAAATATTTAAAGTCCAGAGTATGCAAATTGTCAGTGGGCAGTTTCCCTCTCTGCAGCTGTGAGAGTATCACAGTCACTTACTGCTAGTGCAAACTGAAATTCATTAACGAATTGCTAGCTGATGAACAGATAGTATATTCATTTTATATGTTAACCAAATTAACATTAGTTGATCTTTTTACCAACTTTCCCATTTTACCAACCTTAAAATCAATTTTTAAAGCAAACTTACCACCAGATTTCTTCCCCTAACAGATTCTTTGGCAGTGACAAGCAAGCATTTTAAATCCATTTACACAGGCAAATGCCATATCCAAAATGCAGAACGCTATCCTATTACTGTGGTGATTTCTAATTTTTTAAACACAAAAGCCATCTAGGTCACTGTTTCTCTCCTAAGCCACATCATACAATTGGCTGATTGAATGAGAAGTCAAGGACATGTGACCTCCCCTCCAAAAAAAGAAAGGTTGCAATCAATCATTACCTTTTGATCATTCAACAGCAGCAAAACTAATGTAAGAATTATACCTCATTCTCAAATAAATAAAACATTTTTTCAAATTAAATTAATATTTTATGGGAATAGGGAGTAAAAATACTAATTAAAATTTATGGTGTATACAATACTTCTACTACCTTTTCTCATCAAAATAAAGCACAGTATATTACTTTTCAAAATGTTGACTAAGTAAATAACATAGTAGCAAATAGGGATGTTAGAATTTAAACAATTAACTGGTTAACCAATAAGCTAGTGCTTATCGGTTAATATTATCCATTAAACTCTCACCGGCTCCTGAGAGAGGCAGCTTCACTGACACAAAGAAGCCTCCTCCCTACAACTAGAGTCGGCAGCCCCTGCAGCTCTAGATTGCAGAGCCCGAAACACAGGTAACCACTAACATTTGCAGCCGTTACACAGTTACCGTTTTAACTAACTTTTGAGATCCCTAGTAGCAAACACATATATTTTACAAACAGATATGAATAATTTAGAGGGCAAATCCTTACTATACTTTAAAATAGTTTTTCCTGTGGGACGACAAAGTGACATCATCACATCACTCTGAGTCCCACAGGAACATGCCCCACTCACCCACAGGACCCATGTGGAAGGCTGGGGCTACCAACAGCCCCAACCCTCCCCTTCCCTTCCCAACAGTAGAGGCAAAGCCGGGCTTAGGGCAATGCTAGGGTTACCAGATGGTTTCAACAAAAATACTGGACACACTTGACATTACATCACAATCTACATTATATCTTATTTAGAAAATACCGGACATTTATATTTTCTCAATTTGTTTCCTGAACAGAAAGCTCAAATACTGGACTGTCCGGTTCAAAACCGGACACCTGGCAACCCCAGGCAATGCGGCCTGGACCTACGCCTTCCCAGCACGTAGGGTGAAAGCCGAGCCCGGGAGCCTGGCCTGGCACGCAACACTGCCTGGTCACTGGAGTAAGTTAGGCTGTGGTGGGGAGGAAGGAGGGACTACGGGGCACCTGGCTTGGGTGGGGAAAAAAGAAGGAGAGACAAGGGAGCCCTGGCAGGTGGAGAAGGGGCCTGGGGCTGGTGTGGCCACAGCCCCACCCTTCCTGGTTGCTGGGGGAGGTGGGGGGAGAAGAGCCAAGGTTGGATTTGCTTGGGCTCGGATGGAGTACGTGGGAGCCACGCAACCTCTTGGGGGTGAGATGGACAGGGCACGTGGGAGCCACAGAGCCTTGCGGGGCTTGGGTGGGGGAAGAGGGTGCACAGGACAAATGCGGCAACCCCAGGGGCATTAAGGGAGCACATGGGAACTGCATGGCCTTGCCCCTGGCCATGGGGAAGGGGGGGGAGGGGGAGAGAGCGGGCTAGAGCCACACTCTCTTCCCTCTCCCTGACAGAGGAAGAGGGCTGTGAACCACGTGCCCATCCTGACAGAAAGAGAGAGACAGGCCAGCCCAACACAATGCCCCGCCCCCCTGCCAGCAGCCAGGCAGGAGCCGGTCCAGCTTTGGTCCATTCCAAGTCCCCCACAGTGGCCAGAGTGGGGAAAGCCAGGGCAGACCAGGGCTGCTATGCTTTGACCTGGCCCTCCTCAGCAGCCACAGGGAAAGCTGGGGCTACCTACCCCCAGAGAGGGGGGTTGGCGAGCGCAATGAGCAGAGGCCACCACCCCCTAGTAACTTTTATATTTGAATTAACACCGTCTTGTGCATTATCTGAGGGCATCTAGAGAACATCTATCATTTTGCTAATCGCTCAACAGATAGGGGAGTAGCCATACCAGTCTGTATCTGCAAAAACAAAGCTGAGTCCTGCGGCACCTTACAAACTAACAGATGTGTTAGTCTGTAAGGTGCCACAGGACTCCTCATTGTTTTCACTCAACATATGTTACCATTGATCCATATATTTTAAAGGTGTGTTAGGGAGTTTTGTTTATGTATGGTGTAATTGTTCTACCTCATTAAAATGCAGTGTTATGACAGTGTCTAGGTCAGTAATTGGGGTGACCAAAATAGACTCTGTGACCCTTGACTTAGGAATCCATGTTGCAGGTCCTCAGGCACTGACCACTCAGAGACCAGTCTAAACCAATTTTCCTGCCAAACAGTCACGAGGGTTCTATTCTCCTCAGACTTTTCCCACCCGTTTGGCTTTTTAAGGACTGTGTTCCCTGAGCCTCAGTGCTGTCCGCCAGTGGCAGCAGTGGGCGGGTCCATCTGCTCTACCATCTAACAGTGAGGGACAACCCTGGCAACACCTGTAGTGGAGGGAGAAGGGGATTGTCATCCTCACCAACACACTACTTCCTTGTAATACCAACAGCCTGCGACTCCTCTTCACCCACCAGTCCAGGAGAGAACATAGTGGGACTCCCCAGTGGTCCTTCCCAAGGGCTCTACATCAACCTGAGGGTAGAAGGTCCTGGGCACACCCACCCATTGCCACTAAAAAGTCCTCAGGAGAAAAAGGTCATGGTACGTAGGGGCTTCTTACCATTTAAATCACTGAGTCAAAGGGTTTGCTTTAGTGGGTCTGGGCTTCAAGTCCCTGTTTGTTGCTGTCACTATCACCAGTTTTGTTTTATGTTTGTTATATCTGTGTCTGGTTATTTCCCCGTTTCTCCCACTTTTGTAATTAATCCCCAAATAACATTTTACCTTTTTGGCACCTGAGCATTTCCTCCTCTTTCTTTATTGCACTACACTGGAGTGAGGGGAGGGAGCAATCTACTTCAGTGCTTAATTCACAGATGACAGACCCTGATGGGGGGGGAGGGGAGGGGAGTGATCCTGTACTTCTGACAAGGGCACCAAGCAGCATTTTTAACCTATTTGCTACCTACGTCCTTGGGGTAACAGGTGAGAGAATATTTATCTTGAATAGAAAAAGAAATTGTGCATTTAAAAAAAGGTTCTCATTAGGTATTTTATCACCTGCCTATTCATTTACATGTAGCATTTGTTAATTCTGTCCCCAAGACAACATTAGTCATGTAAATACAGTAGTTTACTATCTGCTAAAATATACTGATATGTTAAAATCACACAAACAAGAGCAGAGTAATGGTGTGAACAATGATTTTGAATCAAATATGTATCTGACTTACCTTCATATGTTTCTAATATATGCACGGTGTCACCTATTTGTAAGGAAAGTTCATCGCCACCCCTTGCATCATAATTATAGAAAGCTAAAAAGAGAAAGTACTGTTGTTAACACACTGAAAAAAGTATAAGTTTTACTTCTGCACATTTTAAAGTGACTTAACAGCATCCTGTTACCACATTCAGCCTCTTGACCCAATATTTTATATTATACGTATCGAAATTACTATTCTAACCCAGTTCTTCAAATCATAAGACAAACAAAAAAACCACGTCATCTTTGTAGAAATGCAACATTTCACTCAGTCTCTAACATCACAAATTAGGTAAAATATTTTTGCAATTATATCACAGATTTTTTACTTGAAACAATATATGATACTGTAAATACAATTTCGTATTTGCTTTTTTGTATAAAAAAATGCATCTTAGAAAACAAACCTAATGAAGTATGTACAAATATTGTGTGTTAACCTCATGAAGTTTTGTGATTACCTATATTATTTTGTCCTTCATTGTCACCTTCATAACAGTTTTATTTAAGTACACTTGTAAAATGTTTTGAAAGCTTGATTTATCAATTTTTAAAAAATCAAGCACCTTAATATTACTAAAATATTAAAGGACAATTTATGTCTGAGTCCATGCACTAACACATTATTCCTTCACTGCATCATTATACCCTAAAAACAAAACCCAGGATTAAATAATTGTATATACATATATGATTAGCGAGGACTAGTTAGGAAAAGCAGAGGCTATACATTAAATACCTTATATACCTTAACCTTTTATTTGTTTTATAAGAAAGGGCTTATATTTCTGATTCTATTTTATTTTATTTAGGTTCTTAAACTTCACCCACAGTCGCTGCTATCAGACTTCCAGCTAGAAGACTAATGTTGCTCTATAATTACCATTAATCCGGAAAATTTGTCAACAATAAAAACAAAACACTTGCCTACCATGAAATGTTGATTTAAAAAAAAAAAAAATCTGCTCACAAAAGCACAACTTGTGAAAAAAATTACCATGAGTGTTTTCACACAAATTTCTAAAAGTCCCAGACAATTGTACCTAGCGTCGCAAATGACAATAAACAGCCAGAGTGCAATATCCAAATATTTACATGTTCTTTATGTTTAGCTGACAGAGTCTTTAGTTACACAATGCATCATCACGATGGCTATGTTATAGTCACTGGTATTTTTAGCAAAAAAACCCCAAAAAAACAGACAAACACAAGTTCACGGCCCCTGACCTGTCCACGACTTGCAAAATACCCTTAATTAAATCTTGGGAATGCTGCGGGTGTTTGTGAAGAAGGCATCACAGATGCTAGGAGGGGAATCATGGTTTCTCAGGGGTGGCCTGCAGGGCATTGCTAGTGCTGGGACTGAAGGTGTGAAGGGAGATGGCTGCAGTCACTGGGGAGGGTCAGTCAGGGGGGTTTTGTGAGTGCTGGAGGGTTGGCTTGGGGGTGGCACAAAGAGGGTTGGTGAGGTTGGCAGGCTACCTGGTTTCTCAGAAATGGGGACTTGTCCCTCCCTCATACGAATGTAAAAATCCCATTTCAAATGTTAACCAGCCCTACATGTCATGCTGTGGTCAGGGGGGCCACGGGAGCAGACTCCCACCCGCAGCATGGTAGACACGGCCAGGCTGAAGCATCCCTCCACCCAGACCTGCTGTGCTGTGTGCTGCTCCAGTTGGGATGGGACTTGCTACCCAGAGGGCCATTTCAGCCAAGCCCACCACACCAGAGGCAGAGGCTGCTCTGGCAGGGCCAGGCCAGCTGCACCTCAGGCTTTGTCTTCACTATGAACTTTTTGCGGAAGAGGCAATGCAAATGAAGCGCTCATTATCATTTTCTCATGCTTCATTTGCATAATCTCTTCTGATCCTTTTTGCTCACAAGGTTTTTGCTCAAAAACAAGCAGTGCGGACATGTCCGTGATCCTTGTGTAGGCATAAGGATCTTGCACAGAAAGGGGTTTTTTGCGCAAAACGGACATGTCCACACTGCTTGTTTTTGAGCAAAAACCTTGTGAGCAAAAAGGATCAGAAGAGATTATGCAAATGAAGCACAAGAAAACACTAATGAGCACTTCATTTGCATTAGCTCTTCTGCAAAAAAAGTAGTGTAGACATAGCCATCGTGTTCACATCTGGCTTTCAAACCTATGAATGCTAGCAGCACAGAAAGTAATGCCAAAAAAATTGCAAGAGATAAATATGAAGTGATACAAATACAAAAAACATGTAATGATGTCAATGTCAATTAAGGTTAATTTATCATAACTTGTGAACACTAGCTAGTGGTTTACTGTAAAGTTGCAAAATACATGGGTGGGCTGTAGGCTGCTAAAGTCTCTGGACAATAAAATAACAATGAACCCTGCACCCACACAAGTGTATACCCAGATTTATCTTATATAAAAATAGTACAAGCTATGCACCTACAGTCCCTGATAAAAGATGACTGAAATGAACACTGGAAGTTAACTGCTGTAAATTGCTAAGGTTCCAGGGTACTGTTAAGCTTTGTACAACTGCATGCATAGCTAAAGTCTCTGGACAATAAAATAACAATGAACCCTGCACCCACACAAGTGTATACCCAGATTTATCTTATATAAAAATAGTACAAGCTATGCACCTACAGTCCCTGATAAAAGATGACTGAAATGAACACTGGAAGTTAACTGCTGTAAATTGCTAAGGTTCCAGGGTACTGTTAAGCTTTGTACAACTGCATGCATACATTGT